TTTCTTATTCTTTTAGATTCACATAATTAAAAACTTCTTAAAAATAGTCAAATATTTGTTTTGAGAAAGTTCTTAGAATTGTAGGGAAGACATGATTGATTTATATATTGTTCTAATTTAACATTGCTATACCAAAAAAATAAAAATAAAAAAATCTTCTAAGTTGTTACATTTTTATATGATACTAAGCAATTAATATTCAGAGACATCAAAATTCACAATTTGCTTGTGATTATAAGTGACTCTATGGTTCACAATTTGTTTGTATTTATAAGTTGTATATCCTGATGGCTGGTTCTGAGTAGAGAGTTACAGGGGTGACAAATAATTGTAATGAACTTGCTACATATGCGAACCTTAGATACTTTAGATTATGCTATCTAAAATTGAGCTTCAATTTGATAATTAGTAGCTGAGAACAATTGTTAGAATGAAAAATGAAGTACGAATAAATATTGCATGGTTAGCATATAGGTAATTAGATGTTTCTACCATCTACTTACATAATAATAATAATAAGATATGTATTGCTGCAAAATACTTATATGATTAAGCTAAGGACAATTCCAAAATAATTTTCTTATTTATGCTTTTAGTTACATGAAATGAGTAAAGCTAATATTTTTAGTTACATGAATTTGGGAGGTCCTATACGATAACAACTATTTTTGTCTTTGAACTTATAGTCTTTTGTTTATTGCTTATGTCTGCCTTTTCCTAACTCTTCCTTTCACCTTATCAAAAAAAAGAAAAAAAAAATATATATAAATAATTGAATTTCAGAAATTGTTCTTGTAGCATCTTACTCGTTAGTTTTATACTTATTCTTTTTCTTGATTTTTTAAGGTTTGGTTAATTATCAATCTTATTTCTATTTAAATTTAATGTCCTATTATTTGTTTCTTTTTTTGTTAAGTGTAGCTATATACTTATTGCCTAGAAACTTATGCCTGTTTTCTGTAACCTTAAAACCTTCACTCTAGCCTCTTTGTCATTGAGCATCATTTGCTTTTGCACACAAATTTCTTTCAAGTCAGTTTTTTATGAACATAATATTTGATGGGCAAGTATACCTGTCGAAAAGTAATATAACATTCTAAAAAGAAGTTTTCAAAATTATCGTTTCACATCTTCAATTACTAAGAATATCTTTATCTAATTGTTTGAACTTAACCTATGCGAAATCAAATATTAAAGTTTAAAATTTAAAACAATTATCACAAAATCTCAAAGGAAGTATCACAACACACGCCTTAGTAGAAATTATAGAAGAGGAACTTAGGGCATAAGGGTTTACTCATTCAAGCCTTTATGTTCTTTTTTAAATTAGCTTTAAATTCAATTTTCTTGTGATTATCAATCATTCATACAATTACTATTAATACTCAATGGTCATGTAATATTAATATTCTTTTCTCTAAATTAATATCTCCAATAGTCATGTAAGACATCAAATAAAGAAAGCATAAAGAACCTATGAATTTGTTAATCTAATAACGACTAGAAGGAAAATATTGATTTGTTCTACCTAATCATTTATTTCGTTTTACTCTACAGATCCATTAACTAAGAGGTACAATCGCCTAACGATCTAATTAGAATTATGTTATGGGTGGTCAATTCACAACACACAATCAAGTACAATAGGATAAAAAACTAATCACAAATAGAAATCAAACTTAGATTTAATCATCAAAACCTCATAAATTCATGAATAAGGATCCCATAGCCCTAATTATGAATTTAGTTACTCATGTTGAAGTAGGAAACTAAAGCAATTGCAAACATAACTGTAAATAAAGGTGAAAAGTAAACTAGAAGGGAGTCTTCGTTCTTTAAGTTTGATCGCTTGAAGCTTTAAATCCCACCAGAAATGTGTCAAAGATCCTATGCCGAAGAGATGCGGCAGTCAACCTAAAAACTCAAAAGTAAAGTATAAAAATTGGATGATTAGTTGCTTCCCCCATCACTCCTTTTGTAGGTTTTAAAGACCCTAAATTCTGTTAGAAGTATGGTTCTCACAGATGAGCACGGTTGTGTTAGCCACTAGCACGACTGTGCTAAAATCAGGAACATAGGCATGTTGTCAACATGCACGACTGTGCATCATATCGCAGCATGGGTGTGCTAAAAATTTAAGATTGGACGTGCTCTATCCTAAATTTGTATAATTCTCTTGAATTTGCACGCAAAATGTCCACAAATTCTTTGAATCTTCACAAACGTTCATCTATAATAATTAACAGGATAATTAGTGTAAAAATTCATTCAATTCAATAATAAGTACATATGAACATGCTAAAAAAGTGTCTAAATATAGACTTATCACATAAGCAAGTTAATAGAACACATGATGGGAATGATGATGCATGATTGAAGCAAAAAAAATTAACATAATGGAACACAAGTTAATGGAACATAAGTATGTTAACATAAATATTTACTTGATTGTGTAATTTGAGCTTAACTATTTTAATGGTGCTTTTGTAGGAAAAAGTTCAAGAATATGAATCAAGCATATCTTTATCCCAAGAAATATCTACTCAAAATTCAATTACTCATGTTCTAGGAAGCAAAAAAGCATTGTGGCTGTGTCCAGGGTTTGGGATTACGTCCTTCTCCATCTTAAGTCTTTGGATATCCTTCATGTTCATATAATAAAATGTCCTTATCTCTTTCTTCTTACAAGGAATTACAAAATCAAGTTACTGTTTTAAAGTCACAAATAGATAAACAAAATTAAAAATTTGATGTAATGATGAATTTTTTCATATAGAACTTTTAAGGTCAACTACCTCCACACTTAACTGTTTCAAACTTCATCGGTTATCTTTTTAAATTGAATTGTTTTCTTAATATTACATACAAATTTAATAACAATTTATATTTTTTTTCTTGTTCTTAATTACTAAAACTCAAGTGTCTAATCAAGAAAGTGTAGAACCAACTAATGTGACTGGTCATTCTCCTACAAATTCTTCAGTTAAAGAGTAGTTCTCTTCAAGATTATAGTAGTAGTTTATCTATGAATTAAAGACATCACTTTTTTTCATTTTAATTAATATTGTTATAAATGTGTATTATGAAATCTTTATGTATGACTTTTGATTTTATACAACTGTCAATTAAAGGTAAAAACTATATAATTTTTATGTAAATATTATATGTTATACAGATAAATTAAAAATTAAGCTCAATTTTAATTATAAGAATTTTATAATTTTTACATGTATTTAATGAGGGTTTCAAAATTGCAGGCGATTCACATAAAAACTGCAAGTATTTAATGAGATTATTAAACCATGGGTAATTAATAATAATAATTTAATCAAGGGTATTTAACAACAGTTATCAATTTATGGGATTTATGGGTATTTAACAAAAGTTACTGAACTGTGAGTAATTAACTATGATTATAAAATTGTAGGTATTGACGGCGTTTATCACAAACTGCATCCTGAGTAATTAACGATGATTATAAAATTGTAGGTATTGATGACGTTTATCACAAACTGCAGTTAATTAATAAAGGTTTAATAACAGGTAATCTATTTGTCATACTTAAATTAACTACGGTTTTGTCAATCATAATTAACGTTATTTATGATGGTTTAAATTTTTGTTAATGTCATAATTAAATGTGGATAAACCATCCTTTTGTTGTAGTGAAATTCTGATCCCTTCTCATTTTCTTGCTAAAAATAATACATGTTTCTCTGCTTACCAATTGCAGCATAGCATAATTTTTACTTTTCGAGCCAAATCTTTATTTCACTAGGATCACCCTTTTTTATTTTTAAAAGAAAATTGTTTCTATTTTTTTTTAAGAAAATGTCAATTAGGATTAGAACAACACCATATTCTCTTTTCTTGCAAAACAAAATAAAATTATAAAAGTTAAAATTTTCAAACAAAAATGATATTTCATAACTATTTTGAAAATGTTATATCTTATTTAAGAAAATGTAGCAAATGCAAGGAGATAGACCTTAGATTCAAGCGGAAGTTACTCAGTCCGTACAGCTTATAGGTTTCTAAAAAACTAACAAAGATCAAAGAGTGGTGGATAACGTCTTCTTCAAAAAATTCTGGTCTAAAGTGGTTCCTCCAAAGTTCTTAGCATTCTATTGGAAAACTCTCTTCAACAGAATCCCTACACGAGTAAATCTGAAAACAATACAATACATTTTCTTCAACTGCAAATTTTCATACAAGTAGATGCTATAAATGGTTGGGAGTTCAAGTAAGTCTTCCTTCAGTGTGTAAATACCACTTTATTCAACATTGTGGTTTCATATCCAATAAGATTATAAAGATAATTTTGTTTTAGTTTGCTACTGTTTAGACATTATGGCTCCATAGGAATTGTATAATATTAAAAAATGAAGACAATAATGCTGAATTGGTAATGGATATGATACAATTAAGATCTTGCACATGCTTAGAGGAAAAGTACATGGATTTAATTGATCGTTTTTCTTATTTTTCCAAAAATGGGTTAAGGATGAGCATAGAGTTTTGGTGATTTGGGTTGCTTAGCTTTAGTCCAATTTGGACTGCTTCCTTTCACCTGATGCGTCATGAGTTTGAATACAAAAAGAAAATTAAAAACACATAAGTATATTTTTATTTTCAGTCCACAAGTTATTCCATTTTTATTTATTTTAACCTGTTTTAGTGAAATTACTTTATCATTAATTTTACTGGTTAAGGATTATTATGGCTATAAATTTTCATCATCATCATAAAAAAAGAAAGGATACATTAAAAAAATAAAATGCGTGTAAAACAATAAAGTGTAAAATTTAAGAATGTAACAGAAAATGTTGACTCAAAATTGCTCCTCTTTAAAATCAATACAAAGGAATACTGAAAACACAATTTATCACAAAGGATACATATCACATCGTGAAATAAATAAATTCATAATTATCCACCACTCAAGAATTTTTTTATATGTATAGTACATATTTATTACTTCACATGTTTTTCTTAAAGAATTAGTTCACCCTCCTGCAGTTAACACGAATTTCACCTTGATTCCCGGTAAGGGGCTGAATATTTCCCATCTTAATCATGGAGTTGGCGAAGTCCTTGTAGAAAGCCACGGTATCATAGCTGTATTGTTTAACCATTGCATCAGTAGAACCACCACTGAAAAGTTCTTGATCAGAGTGAAGAAGTCCATTCTTTTGAACCAGATCAGAGAAATAGGCAACATCAAAGCGTGCAGGAGTTGGGTCCAGTGGTGAAAGGTTGAAATCACCTCCATTTCTTGGGCAAATGTATTTAAGGTTTTGTGCAAAGTAGGGATTGATGTTAGAGTCATTGTAGATATGATCCTTAAACGAAACACAACGTGCATATCCAATTGTGTGGGCTCCAGAAAGAACAACTAGGTCCTTCTCATCAAGACCATGGTTCTTGAAGTTGCTAATAAGTTCTGGAAGATTGAAAGATGGTGCTGGAATGTTGGCATTTGCAGCATCACGGCTTGCTGTAGTGGAGTCTCTTCTTCCAAGTCTCACGTCCCATGTGGCCCCTCCTAGCTGCATGCCGCATGCACATATTTATTTCTTTATCACAACTTTCATTCATGTTATAAAATAATTAATGTCAAATGTTTCTTAAGGATTTTTATTGTATACTCATTTTTTATTATTAGAATATAGCCCATGTCACAATCACCTCACATATATGCTTTGACCCTAATACATTACGAAATAAAACTTTGTGACCATTTAAAGGTGGGTTGAGAATCCACTTCTAAATATTTGAACAGAAGAAAGCAATTTCCTAGAAAATCAATTTATATTAAATTTTTGTGATATAAATTTTTTGAATTTTGTGTAGTCAAACTTTTTTACAAAAAAGGGAAAAGGATTTCATTTCATAATCTTATGCTCCCTCGATTATTTGATATCATAACCGACTACATAAAAAAAGTGTCCCTATCGACCAATTCAATTCAAAACATTAAGCATAATAAAAATTAAAAATATAACGACGAACATTAATCAACATATAGCATTTGGGGTTTGTAAGTAATAGCTAGTATACTAATATTATTACTCACCGCAACCACAGAGTCACGAGCGGCTACAGCCAATATGTCTGCGCAAGAAACAACAGGTTTTCCGCATGCTTCGTCCACCGCTTGCTTGATCTCATCCACCACTTCAAATCCTCGTGCAGACATGTTGTTGGCAAATGCATTCTTTTCGCTGTCAATGGAGGATGTTGAGTCTAGAAGAATTGAACCATCACAGCCCTAAATCACCATCACCAAAACCAAGTGTTTATTAGACGCACACATTCACATCATGTAAGAACTATAATAACTAAAACGCACTGTAAAATACATGACATGACATGATAAATTATGAGTAAATTTTATAAATATTATTTATTTAATGTTTATACAAAGAGAAATAGATATAAAATTTATAAATAACGTGAAACTTTAACACATGACACACATAAATATACACACACAAACACAATGTCTTACGTTAACAAAGCAATCATGGAAGTGCAAACGTAGCAAAGATGCGCCCATACGACGCTCTTTCTGCACCGCAGCCTCAACTACACTTTTGATGGTGCTTAAAGCATTGGGGCATGTGTAGTCGTAGTACTTAGTTGACAATTGTGAGAAAGCTGAGGTTGCAAGAGTTGCAAATACAAATGCATGGAGAAGAACAAAGAAATATCCACGCGATGCCATTCTATTATGCAATGACTTCTCACAAGATCACTGGTAAGTAATCAATGATAGAATTTGGAATTGCCAATATTTTGTATTCGAGTTTATTTGGATTGCTGTTGTTACTTTGTTGTATTTATAGAGCCACTAAGACGCGTGCTGCCCAAAAAAATATCAATGACTGTACCATATAATACCTGGTGATTAGTGGACTGGGCTTATCAAAAAGACCATTTCACCTTAAAGAAACGTTCATCGTAGGTATTACAAATGAATTAATAAATCGTAAAAATATGAATATGCAAATTGATTGATTTGGTCCACGGTGGGAGCTGTTCATTGATAAATGCACGCCAACCATAACTAGTAAAGCCAAAATCATGTAAAGGGGTATATGCATCGGATACATCCTTTTCGACTAGATCAAGTCCGAGCATCACATTAACATACATAGAAAATTCAGCAAAACTAATTATTAATCCCAGTTAATTAAGTTAGCTAGTCGTACTCATTCTATATTATAAAAGTGTTTTTTTTTTCATGTAAGAAATATTAATTTGGAGTGAACTACAAAAGAATTATATTTCACTATTTTTCTTTTTAATCCCTGAGTCTTTGTTTACATTCAACGTGAACTCGTGGATTAATATATTTGAGGCGTTAACTTGAATAATTTTGGTTTGTACTTTCTAGCCAAAAGAGAACGTATCGGCTTATTTTGATAATTTATTACTTTCTTGAGCTATATTTTATTTTATGATATGTTCTTATGCTTTTTTTTTTGTTTTTATAGTAATTTTTTTCATGAACAAATGTTTTAAGTCTGTTGTGATCCTAATTGGATAAACAATAATAAATAGAGGCAAAATCTATAATTCTCTTTTGAACTTGTTATTTTTTATTTAGTTTTGTATGAAGTTACCTGTAGTCAATTATTTAAGTGTAAATAAACAAGAAATTTTAACTCAATAGAAGATATTTGATAGTTTATGTTTGATTGCTATTAAAAGAACTGTCTTTAAATATCTTCTGAGTAATTTTCTAGAAAATGAGACAACAAATAAGTATGATTGCTATTAATTAATTTAATATGTTAAATAAAAATTGAAAAATTAAATTTCCTTGAGATTTATTAAGATTATAATAATATTTAAATATAATATATTTTATAAAAAAGATATATCTTAATTTGATATAATGTGTCAAGCATTAAAATTTGAAATTGAAAATAAATTTAAACTGAGATTAATTAAATTTTAGTAATAGTATTGGAGAGGAATAAAAAAAATACAAAAAATAAAATAAAATGACACTGTTAATATAGATGAAGACATTTGACTCTTAATTTTAGTAAAATAACTTGTAAAAATATTCTACTTTAGGAATGAAGACTCAAATATATAATATACATGTGTTTTTTCGAAATAAAATAAGCTGGGCTACCTAAATGAGCTGCACACACAAGGACAATGTTGTTTTACAAGATAACTGGAAAAATGGCTAAATAAAAAGATAACTGAAAAATTGCTTTGTTTTTTGATGCAGTGTTTTACAAGAAACTGCAATTTACATGCACTATTCTGCTAGGCATATGTTTTGATCTACAGTAATAGACATTTTATTATTTGAACCCTAAATCTAGACAGAGAAAGGTATTTCAATTGTCAAACTATTCAATTGAAATTCCTTTAAAATATTGATAAATTCAAAGCGCCAACTATGGCTTTAGGTAAACCGCAAAGGTTGATTTAGCGGTAAATAAGCGTGCGGAATGTGGATACGTTTACGTAATTAGATATAGTAGGTTGTAAGAAATATATTCATCAAACTCGAAAGAGGGAGCAGTTGAAACACAATAAGTTGAGTTGTAACATTGGGGACATATATTCAAATCTTACTGAAACTAATCAAATTATTATTTTCCGGTTAAGTATACAATTTCGTCTTTTAAAATGATGTTTTATTCATCTTTTATTTATTATTATAATTGTGTGTTTGGTTTGGTTCAAATGAAGGAAAAAGAAAAGGGAGGAGAGGAAGTTTCCTTTTTCTTTTTTTACTTTGTTTAGTTCAAAATTTTAGAGAGAAAGAGAGAAAAAAGAAATTAAAATCTCTCGTATCTCATTTTTCTTTTACCTCTAAAAGTGAGAGAATTTAGAGGAAAAGAAAAGTAATCTTTATTATATTTTATAATTTAAATGATTAAGTTGTCTTGGAATTATTTTTAAAATTTAAATTTACTCTTATTTTATTTAAAACTCTTACACCTCCTTCACAAATAAAAACACAGTTTCTCTTTTTGTAGTTTCTTCACGCGCGCAGATGCATGCATTTCCTTTGTCACACAATATCACACCCTTTTAATCTCATTTTTTACAACTATTCAGTCCAAATATATCTTCATTCTTCTACTATAATTTCTTTTCGGTGTCTTGGTGTTTCATACTTGCGGTATACACAGGAGTAGAACACCGCATTTATTGATCAGGGTAGATTTATCATAATTAACATTATAATTTTTCCTGTTATTTTGATAAATATCGTTTATGTTAATATTAAATTTACCAATTTTAATATTGATACTTCATTTATAACATATTGTATTTTGTAAAAATGTTTAAGGAAGAGATTCATAATTTATGTGTCAATTATTTATACCCTAATAATGTTGACTGAAAGTTAGATTTAAATAGTTTAAGTAGTTAGTTGTAACTATTAAGCAATTAGCTTGCAATTGTGATGATTAGTTACAATCAATAGTATATTTTCATGTGTAAAGTCGTAATAACAACCAGTGTGTGCTTTTGTACTATTCAGAAAGTGCTTAAAAATTATTTTCTAATTTTGTTCTTGCTTCTTGCTATTTTGTGCTTGTGAAGAGTATTTTCGTGAATCAGGAGATAGTTTTCTAATTCAACTAATATTAGAAGCACTGTTTTTCAATTCATAGACGATTCAGGTAGGAGCATTCGAGCACATTCCATCAAGTAGACTTCCACTACTTGATGGGAAGAATAAGGAAAAATGGTAGATTCACATGAAGGTGGTGTTGACTTTCTAATAGAAATTCGGATTCTCCCTTGCCGGCCTCTCTACAACGCCTCTCCATATATAAATGATCTTGTCCATTGAATATACTTAATGGTTCTAAAATGTTTAGCTTTTAAAACTTAAAAAAAATAAAATAAGAAAGGACACTTGAATTTAGCATATGGTATAGAAAAGCCGTATTTTGTAGAACCACCGGTTCCTATTGCTGTGTATAAGGGACTTGTTTTGCCTATATATTGACCAAAATATCAAATGGGCTGATTGTCAAAATATAGCACTACCATGGAGCCTAGGCAAGGAGGTTAATCCTCATTTCTTTTCTCTATTTTTTACTTTTTTAACAAACAAAATTTAATTTTCAAGTTACTACTTATTCTAAATATATAGTTAGATTAAAATTCATATAAAAACAAATAAAATTTTAGAAAACAAAATAATTTAATAATAGATAAAAATAAAAAATTTGATTCAAACTGAGTCATACAGTTGAAATGAATTTTTAAGTAAAATTTAAACAGAACTGAATAGCAAACATTTTCTTTCATTTTTTGCATTTATAGTTGAAAATGCATTTACATTTTTTGCATTTCATTTAATAGTTCTACTACTGCCTACTTTTCTTTCAGCTTAATAACTTTTCTTTCTTGATCCACACCGGGTTCTCTAGTATCAGAGTCTGATGGGAAAGTAGAAATATATCTTTGGATCTATTATAATTATGTTCGTCTAGATCTGAATCTTTAATTTATGTTATACAGTTCAACTTTTTTAAAATATCATTACTGGAAGTACAACAATTTTTAGTTTCTTTTGAATATGGTTGCAGCAGTAAGTCCCGTGTGTGTGTTAAGGGCAGTAAGGCTGATGCGACAATGTTATATTCAAAAGAAAAGAAAGAACGTAAGAAGCTGGTGGCTGTGGTGAAGATATTTCAACCTTTGTAAATTTGTATTTTTATATATAAAAAAAAGTTCACAAATAACCAAATCTAGAAGAAAAAGTTATAAAAGATCTAATAGTATATGTTTTTATGGAACTAAATGAGGGTGATGAACCAGAGGCTTAATTTTATGATGTCTCATTTATTTCACTCTTTCTCCCGCATTTCCCTTCGCTCTAATTCTAGTTCATCCCCCTCTTCCTCTCTAACCAAAAATCTACTCTTTAATGATCGGGAGAAACAATCTCTTGAAATTATCCCAAAACATAACCTCTTCGATGAAGAAGTTCGTTTCGAAGAGATTAACTAAAACATGGATGACTGGACCATTCCAAAAATCCTTCAGGATACATTATATATTCCTGAAGAACAAACCAAAAGAAATAGTTCTGATTATATTATCAAGACTGTTGAAAATAATATTCCTTTAGGATAAGAAATAGGAGAAGAATTTCATCTCCTGTCAAAATATTCTATACATGAACATAAGAGAAAATATAAGTTTCTCCATATACGATGTGTCCAGGTTGTTATCAAACCTTTAATTGACATAGGCATAGATGTCACTGTCCTAATGTGTCTCAGAGATATTATACACAATAGATTTGAAGATTCCCTTATAGGACAGTAGAGACTAGTCTTGGCCAAAGACTAATTTATTTCAATTGTTACCTAAACAAGACGGTGAGTCTTATGGATAGAAATATTCTGGACTCTCTATTTCTTAATATTCACTTTCATGGGTTAGACATGAAAGAGGGATCTATTCTCGCAGCTCTTATCTATATGATCTAGTATAAGGTTATGAATTCTTGTGCATCCAGAGTCCTTCTCAAGCCCCAAAAAGGTGAGACTACTTTATTTATCACTGATATGACAAAGGCTAATGTCTCTCTTCCTAGAATCATCAAATGGGATGAAGTTACTCTCCCTGAGAAATGAGTTATGGACAAGGCTACACGTTGTGTTCCTAGACCTGCTTCTCAGATTCAAGAAATTTCTCAGGACAATTCTAGAAAAGTCGAGATAA